CTGCCCTGCACTCTCAACTCTAACGGGAAAAAATTGTAATACAAATTTTTGTGCTATGGAGAGGGACCTCAATTGGTGAGTATATCACAGTGATGAAAATAAGAGCTTCTGGGAACCATTAAGGACGTGATCAATGAGATTCATCCTAGGATCAAGATCGGCCTCAGAGAGAGCCGTGTTTGAAATCTCCACTCTCTTTGGTACACAACAGTCCCAAGAGGAGAGGAGACAATAAGGGAGAAAAGCATCCCCAGGCACCAGGCATTTCTTAGTTTTAGATTCATCGCAGACGAAAGAACAAAAAACAAAAAACAAAACTCTCATTTTGCAGATGAGAAACTAAGGCCAAACAGTTTTCATAATTGATAATTATCAAATTGAAAACATACTACTTATTACAAAACACCATAAATAGTTGAAAAATTTGTGTGTCTATATCAAAGTATTCATGCAATTGTTTCTATGTGGAAGCATAATTAGAGGCTTACATTCTCATCTATATTCCATATACTTTTTCTCTGGGCAGCCCGAGTGACATTTCTAAAGCACAGAGCTAATCAAGTTACTTCCTTGATTAAATTCCTTACATGGATCCTCTTTGCTCTCAGAAGGAGATTCGTATTTCTTATTATGGCTACCAGCCCTACATGATCCAGCAGGGAAAGAAGATAGAGTTTTAGAACAACCTAAAGGAGAGAAGTCTAACAGGAGTATCCATAAAAAGTTGGGACCTCAAGACTCAACCTTTCGTGTATTTCTCATTAGTGAAAAGTAAAACCACCAAGAAATTGCTTGATCAAGCTTGGCCCTGGGTGAAGAAAAATTCTCTCTCTTGAGAATTTATAGCCACAAGTCAGTATCTCATTGTGGTGTGGTCCAAATTAATAATATAAAAATTGAATTTAAAATTTGGTGGATGGATTAAACAGAAAGTTAAACACAATTAAAAAGAGACAACTAACCTAGAAGATACATCAGCAGAAATTAGCCAGAAACCTGCCTAGGAAACAAAGATATAGAAAATAAGAACAAGAATTTACAGGTATGAAAAATAGAAAAGGAAGCTCTAAAATACAGTGAATTGGACTTGCAGAAACCAATAATAAATATCATCGTAAGAGCTAACAAGTGTATAATACATAGTATGTGTCCCTGCTCTAAAGTATTATATAATGAACTCATTAATCTTCACAACAAACCTCTAACGTAGGAAGAATATCATCCCCATTTTAAAGATGAAGAAACTGAAGCATAAAAGAGTTAGCACAGTTGTCTGTGGCCACATAGAGATGCCGCGCAGCCTAGCTTTGTGTTCTTCATCACTATGTAATATTTGAAGAGGTAATCGCAGAAAATTGTCGATAAATATTAAACGACCTACTCCTGAAATCCAGGAAACTTCACAAACACCAAGCATGATATGAAAAAGAAAACCACTAGACACATACTGGTGAAAGTGTATCACATCAAAGAAAAAAGAAAGCTCGTAGAAAGAAAAAAGACAGATCACTGCAAATGAATGGCAACTTGATGGATGGCCAACCTCACAATGGGAACACTGGCAGCCAAAGACAGTGCATCTTCAGTGTGCTGGGGGAAAGGAACTGTCACCCTACAAAGTTATGTCTGAAAAGAACCTCTTTAGAAAACGAAGGTGAAACTATGACATTTGCAGGCAGAGAAAAATATGGAGCACTTACCACCTACACACTCTCCCAAGAGGAACCCATGAAGAAGGTGTTTTGAGGAATGGATATGAGATGTGAAATGGGAAGGTGAGCAGAAACATTGGTGATTATGGGAATACATTGGAACAAACCTGACTATTTAAAACAATAATAACTTTAAATTCTTGGGAGAAAACAGAATCAAAATTAAGACCTGGAGCACACACAGTAGGTTGGGAAAAAGGAAACAGAGGCCAAAGCGTCTAAGGTCTTGGTGTCGTTCGTCAGGAGGACAGACTTCTGGGGACAGTTGTAGGGTTTGTCTGCTGCACCGAAAAATGTCCAAGGCACAGGAGGGGAGGGGCTGCTGCAAGGTGCCGGTTAACCCTCGGGTCCAGGTTCAGGGCTGTGACTACAGTGAGTATCTAGGAAACAAGCTGCTCATTCCCTTATTTGTTGCTAGGCTTCTTCCTGAGTGATATGTAGGTGATACATACACATCTATATATACTACATATTGTATTAGTATTTTGTCCAAACTATGCATTATAAATATTTCTTCAATTTGTTGTTTCACTTGCTGGCAATGGCCTTTTCCATGCACCTTTTTCTTCACACAAAGGCGAGATCAGGACTGCATCAGCTCAAAAAGGGCACCTTTTTTAAATCTGCATAAAGGCGTTAGAAGTGAACTTTTTTATGGGTTAAAAATGCTGATTGCCTTTCAACTTTACATAAGTCTGTTAAATAACTATATTAATCACCTGGAAAATAGACATAGAGTATAAAACCTCAACTAAATGGAGGAGAAAAAAAACACCCTCCGTATAGCCAGGGGCTTTCTGAGCAGAACGATACTTCTTATTGTGCTCCCACTTTGATGAAATCTCTAAAATGGGAAGGTCTGGAGACCTGTTTCTGGTAAGATGAAGGTTTGAAGGCCTGCTGACTAAACTTCCGGGGTCATGGCAGTGCCTCCTACCAAAGTAGGTCTGCGTGATGAGTCCCCTGTGAGCAGCTTCCCTTTTGGGGCAAAGTTTTGCTTGGGACTGCCAAGCACGTGACAATGCCGCTTTCCTCATGCCCTCCCCAACACAGTGTACTAGGCCTTACGGTATTTGAAAATCTGAAGGTGAAAGTATCTCAGTGGAGTTTCTCATCTCATTACCCTTTCTCATCCTGAGTATGTTTTAGCATTTTCTTTGTTTGTTTGTTATGTTTAAGTAACATGGATTATCTAGGAAACAAGCTGGTCATTTTTTTATTTGTTGGTAGGCTTCTTCCTGAAATGTGTAGGTGATATATACACATCTATATATACTACATATTATATTAGTATTTTGTCCAAACTATGCATTATACATTTTTTCAGTTTGTTGTTTCACTTGCTGAGGATGGAAAAGAAGTTATTTTAATTTTTAATAGTTTTTTATTCGATATTTTTGTTTATGGTTTCTGTATCATGACTAGAAAGATTTTCTCTAATCCAAGGTTATGAAATCATTTTCTCATGTTTCCTTTTGAAATTTAACAAGGTCTAAAACATGACGTATGATCCCTGCTATATTTTACTCTGGATGGCTTCCAATAACATTTATTAAGTAGTCCATCCCTGCGCCTTCCCATTTACAATAGCCCCTTCATCATAAACTGAATTCCATATGCACTTATTTTGATTCCTGAGAATTTCTACCCTGCTCCATTTATCCCTCTGCCTCTTTCATGTCAACTTCTCGTCTTTTTTTTTCGCTGAAACTTGAGATTAGCCACTAATATCTGTTAGGGCTGGCAGGTCCTCATTGCTTTCTCCAGAAGTAGTTGAGGTTACATTTTGTTGTATCTTATTTCCTAAGTAGGAAAGCTATTGTTGTCCTTAGAGGAATTTTGTAGCCAGCCATCTTTCTGAGCTGTCTTTCCCTGTGGTGATCGTCACTTGTACTTCTGAGGTTTCTCAGATGGACTATCACACGACCAGCCACTCTCTCCCAAACCCACTCTTTCAGTCTCCCAGCTTCAGCACCCCCTGGAACCACACTTGTCCAGCTGGCAAAGGCTCTGTATTGCAGATCACAGGATCGATTCTTAATCTTCCTATTATTCAGTCTCTCAAGTTGGATTGGGACTATCGCTCACTTCCATCTTCTAGAATCAGTTTCTCAGTTCAGTCTCAGGACTCTATCCACTCCCCAAACCCCACACTACCCTTCTGTAGCTGCTTCCTACTGCATTGTTGGCTGCGTCCTCCTCTACTTCTAGAGGTCTGGAGGGTGCAGAACTTAATGCTGAGTCTCCAAACTCTTCTTCATCAACACTCATTCCCAGGGTGAGCTCACCCAGCTCCTCGGGAATACACGAGCATAGACCTGTGTGCTATGCGTCATTGTATCTTCCCTGCCTGGGACAGTGCCTGGCGCACCGTAGGCTCACGGTAGTGTTGAGTAAAAGCAGAAATGAGTGAATAAGTCTTTTTGCGTGTTTTAAATGCTTCATAGTTAAGTCTTTAAAGAAAAAGACAAGAAAAAGACAAGTACTGCAGCATAGGCACATAAAGGAAGTCGTAGTAGCTAAGGCTGAAAATACTGGTTGCCCCTAGGTCATCTGAAAATCATCTAGCTAACAAATATCATGAACAGAAGGAGGAAGGTGACAGATGGTGAGTGTAGTGTGCTAAATTCCTCATCTCTTATAAGGGAACTCAATATACCCGTTGTTGATATTGACAAATCGAAACTAGTAATGTAGTTTTATTATGCAAAGCTATACTATCATTTGTAAAAGAGTTAAGAACGGAAACTGTAACCAATGGTTACTATTGGGGAATGAGATTACGAGAGACTTTACATTGCGTTTTATACACCGTGGTGTCTTCCAAAATAAGACTAATGTACATATATTACTTCTGTGAGTAAATATAAAAAGATCAGGTGAGCCATGCAAGGCCCTGAATGCCACACAAACTAGTCTTTTGCTACAAAAGCCCACATTGCCTGGGCTTCCTGCACAGGCTCACAGTGCCAGCGAAAACCTCCAGGACAGCCATTCCTCACAGGGAGGGGTTCCGTATGAGGAAGGATGAGAAGAGGCCACGATAAGGGATTGGAGTCAGGGCAAATGAGAAACATCTCGTGAGGTCCTTGTCTCACGCAGAATCTCGTGTACCCTTCGTCAGGAAATCACAGGGGCTGTTCCCCATTTTGATAAGCCCGTCTTGGTCACCAGGTTTCGCTCCTGCTCCTGTCGGCATCTCCCCTCCAGAGGGTAGAAAAGCGTTCTCTGCTATTAGTCACTCCTGGAAAAGCTCTTCCTTTTCTACTCCCCACCTCCAACGAGAAGATGGCGCTAAGGTAAGAGCTGGCTCTCCCAAAGGTAGCACTGTTTTCTCACTCTTAGTCCACATGCTCACGATGTCGATTTGGGGGTGGGGGGGGGGACAGGGGGCCATGGGCATCCATCAGCAGCAGTCAGGAGACATGAAGCTCCCTCACGGAAGCTCTGGATGCTGGTAGCTTAAAGTTTGGGAAAGCCACCCGGGGCCAACCGGGTCCTTCCTGCTTCACGGTTGTTGCTTCCCAAGCTAAACTGCTGTTAATAACCTTAGATTTCACTGATTAGCCAGCTGTTCAACGGGGTTCTTTGTTTCTGTGTTCTCGTATCTGGCTTGTCCCAGCAGAAAACACAGGGCACAATCGAATGGGGTAATTGAGGAGAGTTTAATGAAGGGACTATGTACAAAGGTGTAGGCAAGACTAAGGAAAAATCTATAGAAGATGCAGAGGCCCCCAAAGAAAAGTCATAATAGGGAGCTGTATCCGTTGCCAGGTCTGAAGGGGAAAGGGGAGAAGTTACCACACGTCAGGGAGGGCTGTTGCTGTAGCTGTAGTTGTCACTGTGACTGTAAGAAAGGCCACCAGAGAGGTCCTTTGGTAGAGTAACACCGCCACTGCTGTCTCACAGCCTGGCAGCGAGACCCAGGGAGGTTAAAAACCCTCAATCCCGCTCCTCCTGCTCTCCAGTCACCTGTCAGTGTCTCCCTTTCACTGAGCAGGACCAGGAGCCAGAGGGAAAGCGAGCCCATCGGTGAGGCACAGAGACGTCTCCTCCCGAAACACAGAAGAGGTTGGAGAAGATGGAAATGACATTCGATGTCATAGGAGAAATTCTATTTCCTTATAGCCTCCTCACAGTTGGTTTTCCTGGGACTTTCTCTCTCTGTCAATGAAATTGGATCAATTTCTCATTGTTTGACTATTTTGTTGCACCTCCCTATCTGGTATTATTTTTTGGAATAATCTCTCAGCATCATCATAAGTGCCTCGTGAATGAAATGTAGTTTTTTGTTTTGTTTTGTTTTGTTTTAATGTAAGAGTCCACAGATTTTTATGAATATTTCAAGTTTATAATTTTGAATGTTCTAGAAAGAAATACATTATAAAAGTTGCTCCTTAAACTGTGTCCCACACACAGAGCTGGGCACTGGGGCACACTAGTGGACAGGAGAAAAGTACTTCTTGTCTTCATAAAGGTGGAACACTGGGCCATTTCTAGCCCAAGAGGACTGGCCATAACCACATTTCTCATAGCAAGAAGTCGTGTTCCCTACATGACCCTAACTCATGATCTTTCTGGTGGATGGACACCCTCAGTCACTGACATAGCCCACAGATCATGCCTTGGGCTTCCAACTTCCTGCCCTTAAAAAGAAATCTCAGTACCATGGCAGAAAGAATGCTGAGCTCAGAGTCTTGTTGTCATCCCACATAACCTGTCGAGACTTTTCTTCTCTTGCCTGCAGGGAACATGTCATGGCCAAGGACAGTGAGTAGAGGTGTTTGGACCATAGAATATTCCTGTGTCAGTAATGGGTCCATGTTGCCCAGGCTCTAGAGTCAGAGAAAACTGGGTTTGAATCCAGGTTCAAGACTCAAGGCTGTGTGGTCTTTGGGAAGTATCTTAACCTTGCCAAGCCTCCCATTCTCTCTTCTGTAACATGGGGATGGTAATTCCCAGGTAGCAGTGTGGCCCATGAGAATCAGCAATCCTACAGCAGGTGCTCAAGTTTTGTTTCTGTTCTAGTGGCACCAGTGAAGGGTTCCTGAGCACGAATCCAACCATCACGCCAATGAACGGAAGTGACCATGACCTTCTTCAAAATTTCAAGACAAAGATACTGATCTCGCTGACGGTCACCATTGCCCTGGTTGGGCTGGCAGGAAACGCCATCGTGCTCTGGCTCCTGGGGTTCCGCGTGCCGAGAAACGCCTTCTCCGTCTACATCCTCAACCTGGCGGGAGCCGACTTCCTCTTCCTCTGCTGCAGGATCTTACTATCCCTGGATGAATTCATCACCTACTTCCATTCCGACTCCATTTACATCTCTGGCTTTTTCATGACTGTTTTCACCTTTGCCTACATCGCAGGCCTGAGCTTTCTTACCATCGTCAGCACCGAGCGCTGCCTGTCCGTCTTGTGGCCCATCTGGTACCGCTGCCGCCGGCCCAGACACATGTCAGCTGTCACGTGTGCCCTGCTCTGGGCCCTGTCCCTGCTGCTGAGCGTCCTGGAAGGGAATTACTGCGGCTTCCTCTTTCGGAATTTTCACGAGGATTGGTGTCCAATGTTTGATTTCATCACTGCCGCGTGGCTGATTTTCTTATTTGTGCTTCTCTCTGGGTCCAGCCTGGCCCTGCTGACCAGACTGCTGTGTGGCTCCCAGCGGGTGCAGCTGACCAGGCTGTATGTGACCGTCATGTTAACGGTGCTGGTCTTCCTCCTCTGCGGCCTGCCCTTTGGCATCCACTGGTTCCTCTTAATCTGGATTCCCAATATTTCAGATACGCTTCCCATTTATCTTCACCGGATTGCGCTCGTCCTCTCCTGTGTCAACAGCTGCGCCAACCCCATCATTTACTTCTTCGTTGGCTCCTTTAGGCAGCGATGGCGGAAGCGGCGGCAGACCCTGAAGCTGGTTCTCCAGAGGGCTCTGCGGGACTTTCCTGAGCTGGATGATCGTGAGGGAAGTCTTCCTCAGGAAACCCTGGAGAAGTCGGAAGGCAGTCTGGTGTCCTGATTCAGAGTCTTGCTTTGTTCAGACAGATATGGCTTTGAGAGCCAACTTTGTCCCTATTAGTTTAGGAGGTGTTCTTAAGTCTCTCAGCCTCTGGGTCCCTTAGTTAAAATATTTAACATTAGAATCCTGCTGGTGAGCATTAAGTGGGGCATTAAGTGCCTGTTAAGCACACAGTAAGTGCAGTGTCTCAAGGACTGCCCTACCCGGGGCCTTCGCCCCTCCCCCATGGGAGCTCTGCCAACTCTGGGTCCAGGACTCTTTCCATTTTTTGAAGAATTCTACCTTTGGCAGAAGCTGAAAGTGGTGCAAGAAAAGTCTAAATTTCTTTAACCACTGAACCTGATAGAAACTAAAAGAGTATTACATTTTTGACAAGTTTCTGTAGTCACTCTCCTACAATCTGTCTCCATAAATTAAAAGAATTAAAGTTCAATCTAGCCCCAACGAACAGTCCTCTTGTATTTGGCAGGCTTTTAGAAAATCTCCCTAGCCTAATAAGTGTTGATTGAATCAATGAATTAATGAAGGGATACGTGATTTTTAGGTCAAGTTTGTGCTAAATTACCATCTGCCAGATTTGAGTCGCCATCTTTAAGTTATTGCTTTCACTGTTTTCAATCTTTGTGAGCATGAAGTTCAGTGTTATAACCAGATAGATAAATCAATGTCAAAGTGTGTGTAAGCTTCCAGGTAGGTCGTCTTCCTATGTCTCATTTCGCATACCCTCCAGGAGAATCCCACGTGCTCCTTCCCTTTCCTACCCTTCGCCTGTACCCTGACTCTCCCTCTCTGGGGGCTCTCTAATCCTCCACAGCAGGTTTCCAATGGGTCTTACTAGACTGTGTTCTCCGAGGACAAGATCTATGTCAGATTTGCCTTTTGTTCCAAGGAGCTCTTAATATTATTCATCTAATTATAGAAAACTATTTTTAAGTCACATATTCTATAAATCAATATATTAAATTTAAATGTCATATCGTTAAAACCTTTTCTTAACAATGAATAATTAACAAAGAGTTATTGCACAGATCATAAATTCAATGAGTTTTGGCAATAAATACACCAATGGGACTCAAACCCCAATTATGACACATTTTCATCACCTCTGAAAGGTCCTTCATATCCCTCCCAGTTATTTCTTCTGCCAGAGGCAACTTCTGTTCCGAATTCTGTCGCCAATTCCCTTTGCCTCGCTTTTGACTTCATATATTTAGGATCATGACATGTACTTTTTTGTCCCTACCTTCTTTCACTCGGCACAATATTTTTGGGGTTTACCCATATCATGGCACTACATATATCAGTAGTTTGTCCTTGGTATAAAGGCTGAGTACTATTTCATTGCATGGATGCACCACCGTTTATTTATCTGTATATGTAACATTTCCATTTGGGGCGATTGTGAATAAAGCTGTTATGAACATTCTTATTTGAGTGTTTTTCTGGACATATGTTTTCATTTCCCTTCTATAAATAACCTGGAGTGAAATCGCCGGGTCGTCGGAAGATGTATGCCGAACTCGATGAGACACTGCCAAACTCTTTTCTAGAGTGGCTGAGCTATTTCACATTCCCACCAGCAACATGTGCAAGTTCCAGTTGCTCCACATACTCCCCCAAAACATGTTATTGCCAGTCTTTTGAATTTTACTTATTCTAATGAGCATAAAAAGGTATCTCCTTGTGTTTTAATTTGCATCTTTCAAATGACTTACGAAATGCAGCATTGTTTCATATGTTTATTGGCTACTTGGTTTTTTTTTTAACTCTGTTTAATTTTTGCCCATTTTTATTAAGCGTTTCCTTTTTTCATCATTTATTGTAGGAATTTTTATATATGCAGAATGAGTCCTTTGTTAATTACGTGTATTGTAAATATTCATCCAGTTAGTGGTTTGCCCATCATTTTAACAGATTTTATTTTTTAGAACATTTTAAGAGTTAAAGAAGAATTGCGCAGACAAGATCAAGGCTTCCTATAACACTCCCTCTCCCCGTACCCTTTTCTCCACACAGTTTCTTCTGTTATTAACATCTTTCATTAATGTAGAACATTTATTAAAATTGATGCACCCACATGGATACATTATTTTAAACTGAAGTCCATAGTTTACATTACAGTTCACTTTTTGTGTCCAATGCATTTGACAGATGCTAAATATCATGCATCTATCTTTACAGTATCATATAGAATAGTTTTTCTGCCCCAAGAATAAATCAAATATTTCCATATACATCTTTTCTTTCTTTCCTTCTTTTCTTCTTTCTTTCTTTCTTTCTTTCTTTCTTTCTTTCTTTCTTTCTTTCTTTCTTTCTTTCTGTTTTTGTTGTTGTTGTTGTTGTTGTTGTTGTTGTTGTTAAACTGCTTGGTGTTCTCTGAGCAACTCGAATCTACAGGTTGATGCTTGTCAATTCAGAAATCTTTTGGCCACTATTACTTTAGATGTCTTCTCTTCCTTTCTCTCTTTTCTCCCCCTCTGGTATTCCCATTACATGTATGTTGCACAATCTGTAATAATCCACAGCCCTTGAACATTCTGTTCCATGTTTTTCAGTCTTTTTTTTCTCTTTGCTTTTCAGTTTTGGAGGATGCTATTAACGTGTCTTGAGGATCATGATTCTTTCAAAGGCTGTATCTAGTCTACAGATGAGCCCATCAAAGGCATTCTTCATTTCTGCTACAATCTTTTTATTTTTAGCATTTTCTCTCTCTTAGAGTTTCCATTTGTCTGCTGCTATTGTCTATCGGCTCTTGCATATTCTCCGCTTTTCCATTAGAATCCTTAACATGTTGATCACAGTTATATAAATTTGCAGACTGATCATTCCAAATTCTTGGCCATATCCTAAAATTTTTACATCTTAAATGGGAAGTCAATTGATCGTGTCATAAACACTGATAAATTAAAAAATAGAAATTTTTGTTTACTATTCAAATCTATAACTATAACGAAGAAAAGAAGGTCTAGGAAAAACTGAAACAAGTTGTTTCTGCTAGAGAATAGGACTCAAGTAGACTTTTACCATTTATTTGATACACACCTATGTCAACTGGAAAGAAAATGCAAACCTGCATGTATTACGACTATAATAAAGTAAAAAGGCGAGACAGACCCAGAGGGCCTTGAATGACAAATAAGGAGGTTGTGCTTCATTCTTAGTTATAAAGCCTCTCAGCTCAGGCTCACTTTGCTGGGCATTGCTGCCCAGGTGCACAGTTGGCAGCAAAAGGCTCCAGAACAACAATCGCTTGCAGGGACAGGTACCAGATGGTGTGGAGAGGGACAGAGGTTGAGATATGATAGGAGTAGAGTCAGACCAAGTGTTGAGAAACATCTCCTGAGGGATCCTGACTCAGAGAACTCCACACTCTCATTTGCAAACAGGTCCCTGTGCAGGAAATCACAGGGTCTGTCTAGCACCTTGATAAGCCTCCCTCAGGAACTAGGCTTCACCCCTGAATCTGTCTCAAATTCTGAGTTCAATTGAAGATTTTTCTCAGATGTTCCTCCCGTGATGTGTCGACGAATCGTGAGGAGCCTCAGGCGTGGCTTCGGGAGAGCAGGGCTGGTATTGGACCTGCTGTTCACGATGTGATCTCAGGAAAATCTTTGGCTCTTTCAGCATCAACTTCTTCCTATGTTAAATAAGGATACTATAATAGATGGTGTCTAGGTAACATATACTAGATGCTAGGGAAACAATAGTCAACAATATTAATTTTTAAAAAAAAACAGACATGTCTAGGCATCACTGAGCATTGAGTTTAAAAATGGAGACGAAGAAAACAAAGATACACACACTTAAAAATTAGAGCTATAAATTGTGTTCAGTTCCATGAATAAAAAGCCCACGGTGCTATAAGACAGCACAAAAAAGATTGTGGTTTTCCTCCATCTCCTCATTAGTCCAATCAGGACTACAGGAAGTAAAAGTGATGGATAATTCAGTCCTCGATGCCACCTCTGCAGCCAGATGGTCCTGCCTTCACCTACCCTGACACACCTGCCCTGTGTGTGTATTGGCCAGTCTGGACTGCTTGAGCCTATTCAGAGGCCAGAAGGGGCTCCTGGGCTCTAGGATCTGTTCCCAGCTATTTCCCACCTACCTCTTCTTTTATATACTGGATGGGCTTCACTTCCTTGTTACTTACAAAATGTACCTATGCTAGTTTAATAAAACACACAAGTGAATTGCCGTTTTAGATTTGATCCTTGGAGTTGCTTCTTCCCCCCACAACTCCCCATGCGTAATGAACATGCGGAGAAAAGCATTCTCCATCTACATCCTCAACCTGGCGGGAGCCAACTTCCTCTTCCTCGGCCGCCAATTCATAGATTGCCTGAATGCACTCATCATCAATCTTCTATATTTCTGTGTCAACTATCTCTCTTCAGATCCATTGCCACATCTCTCTCTCCTTCCCAACCTTGCCTTTTTCTCCTCTGAATTGCAGAGAAATTAAATTTAGTCCTGAATTTCTCCAAAAATTATGTACTTAAATCTTCTAGTTGCTCGCTAAAGCCATATACTGACCCTCCCTGGGTGGAGACATTATAAAGACCATCATTCGTTTTCTATGCAGGCATAAAGAATTCTTTGAAACACACCAAAGCTTTTCACAGATGGAATAATGAGCAATGACATTTTCCTCTTTTCTTTACATATGTGTTTTCTGGTGACTGATTTTATTAAAAATTTTATATTACATTGAATTCAAATTTTTCACTCCCCTTAGGATCCTTATCTATTTATTCATTTATTTGTGAATTAAAAAATTCTTGACTACCCCATTGTGACACAGAGTTAGGCCCCAGGGACACAGCAATAAACAAGAGTAAAGCACTTTCCGTCCTCATAAAACCTACACACTGAGCCACTGCTAGCCCAAGAGGCTTGGGCATCCTCATATCAGAGCAAGATGTCACGGTCCCTTCATGACCCTAAATTATGATCACCTTTCTCCCTAGCGGGTGGACCACTCTCAGTCAGTGAGATTGCCTTGGGGCTTCTGACTGCCTGCCCCTGAGCAGAAGCCATTGTCCCAGAGCAGAAGGAATGCTGCACTCAGAGTCTTGTTGTCATCAACACAGCCTATTCAGACTTCTGTCCTCTGGCCTCCCGCAGATATGACATGGCTTAGGACGGTGAGCAGAGGTATTCAGACCACGGAATAGTCCCACGTCAGTAGAGCGTCCGTGTTATAGTAGAGAGAGCTCGGGCTTTAGAGACAGAGAGAACTGGGTTTGAATCCAGGTTCCAGGACACAAGGCTGCGTGGTCTTCCGCAAGTATCTTGATCTCTATAAGCCTCCATTTCCCTCCTCTGTAATTTAGGACAGTAATTCCCACATAGTAGGGTGACCTTGACAAACAGTGATCATACAGCAGTTGCTTAAATTTTATCTGTGTTCCAGAGACACCAGTGGAGGGATTCTGAGCACAGCTACAACTGTCAGCCTGGGGAACAGAACACATGCCAGTGAATGGAAGCGACGGGACCTTTCCTAAACATGGCACGGTGACCCCGATCCGGGGGTTCCGGTCTTTACCATTGCCATGGTTGGGCTGGCAGGAAACGCCATTGTGCAATGGCTCCTGGGCTTCCACATGCGGAGAAAAGCATTCTCCATCTACATCCTCAACCTGGCGGGAGCCAACTTCCTCTTCCTCTGCCGCCAATTCATAGATTGCCTGAATGCACTCATCAACTACTTCCATGCCGTCTCCATTGACATCCCTAGCTTTTTCATCACTGTGTCATCTTTGCCCTCGTCACAGGCCTGAGCTTTCTTAGCATCGAGCTTTCTCAGCACCGAGCGCTGCCTGTCCGTCCTGTGGCCCAGCTGGTACCGCTGCCGCCGGCCCAAACACATGTCAGCTGTCACGTGTGCTCTGCTCTGGGCCCTGTCCCCGCTGCTGAGCATCCTGGAAGGGAATTACTGTGGCTTCCTGTTTAGGGATTTGCACGATGATGATTGGTGTCCAGTGTTTAATCTCATCACTGCGGCGTGGCTGATTTTCTTATTTGTGCTTCTCTCTGGGTCCAGCCTGGTCCTGCTGACCAGACTGCTGTGTGGCTCCCAGCGGGTGCAGCTGACCAGGCTGCACGTGACCGTCGTGTTCACGGTGCTGGTCTTCCTCCTCTGCGGCCTGCCCTTCGGCATCGACTGATTCCTCTTAACCTGGATTCACCATGGTTTCGATGCGATCTCCTGTCATCTTAACCTGTCCTGTGGCAGCAGCTGCGCCGATCCCATCGTTTACTTCTTCGTTGGCTCCTTTAGGCAGCGATGGCGGAAGCGGCGGCAGACCCTGAAGCTGGTTCTCCAGAGGGCTCTGCGGGACTTTCCTGAGCTGGATGAACGTGAGGGAAGTCTTCCTCAGGAAACTCTGGCGATGCCGGGAAGAGGGCTGGGCCAGTGATGAAACGCCTCAGCCCGGGTCCGTCAGAAGCGACTTAGAGTTCCTGCTGCCCCCCCACTCGCCAATTATCTGCTCTCTGTCTGTCTCGTGCCCCAGCAACGTCTCAGTCATTCCCCAGTGTCTTCAAATAGGTTGTTTTTACTCTGGTTTTGCCAGTTTTTCTCAGAGAAAGCATTAGTCCGAACGTTATACTTCTCCATCTTTTTTGACATTACCGATAAATTTCTCATGTTATCTTCCTCTGAATCTTCTGTATTGAATGCTTTTTCTTTACAATTTTCATTATAATGGAAAGGATTCCTGTCTAAAGCCATAAACTCTTGTTCATATTTTTTTCATATTTGATAGGAATGAAAAAGATTCCTTATTTTCTCTCAGAATATGATCCCCTGAGATTCATGTTTATCCCTGTGGTTGGGGTATTCTTCCGTTAAAAGCTTGAATAAGTGAGTTCTCCTACCTCTAATCTCATTGGGTTCTCAGAGTTTGGGGAACTCATGCCCTTAGAGGCAGCATCTCTACCTACATGAGAACATTCCAAGATATCGTGCTTATGAAAAGTCCTTCGGTGCCATTTGTCCATGGTATGGTGACAAGTTGACCTTGGGTTGTAGTAAAGAAAATCACAGCCTTTACCTTTGAGAGCTCATAAATGGTTATTTAATTCTCGATTCAAATAAATAACCATTCAATTAAATGGTTATTTAATTATAGACTCCACACTATTTTAAATAACATTCAATGACATTAAATAACCATAAATGGTTATTTAAAACAGTGTGGAGTCTATAAATATGTCCCACCTACTCTAATTTGGCCATTGCAACCTCAGTGTCAATTTAAAAAACAAAAATTATCTTGGAAATCATTTATTATTAGCTTACAGATGTTAGTTTTTGGAACACTCTGTAAGCCTCAAGATATTGTACAGATTGTTCTGGCTGTGACTTTTAATCAGTTTCCTGGGCAGTCCCCATGAGGAGCAGGACTGAAAACATCTGATCCTCCCATCATCATGTCAATCGTATTTATAAAACCTTAGATTCGGCAGAGAAATCTGGACTTTACTCTGCCAACGATTACTCATTGCTCACAGAACTCAGGCAGACAGGGAGGGTCCACTACAAGATGATATAACGACACAGTGGGTCGTCTGTTCCTCTCAGACAGTGAGGCTGCCCTTTGGATTTACCCTCAGAGAGTGAAACTGACAAATGAACTCTGAGTACGCAAGAGATACTACAGGTAGTTGTGCAAATGGTACCAACTAGTTTTAAATTTTTAAATCACATATATCTATCATTCCTAAAACACAGTTCAGTACTCAGAACTCAGATTCCCTGACTCCAGACCCGGTGCTACTCCCAGTCCAGCACTCTGCCAATTCTTTGTCCTACATGCACTCCTTTATTTCCAAATGCTATAGTAGGGTTTGGCTGTGGTTAAGGGCTTCCTCAGATGGATTGCAGGGTGGTGGGAGAAGGCAGGAAGGCTGTGCTTACAGCCTGTGCACCAGGCAGGGTGCTCTGATGTGATGCCATCAACATAGACTCAGGGTTCTTATGAGAGTCAGTCCTGTAAGTCTTGTGATTCCATCAATCATACAGATGCGGTTGACTCTGTCCATCATGAGGAACCTAGTAGGAAAATTTCATCTTGCCTTTGAACCAAATACTGCTGGGTTTCACCTGAGCAACTGGTTATTTTGTTGTCAATGGTATTCCTCTTCACGTTGGCTGCAAGAAAACTTAGAGCTCCTGGATGCTCAAGTTCAGCCACTGCAGCACACACCGAATGCCCTTGGCCCCGACATTCGTCCACCAGAGCACTTACAACATTGTGCTGTGCTGTTCGGTTTGTATGTCTCCCCCACCATTCACCACAATGTGAGGTCTTTAAGAACAGATAACATGTCTTTCAAATCCTAGTGATGGGACTTGGCCTGTAATTTAGAAGATGCTCAGGAACTATTTTTCTCAAGCAGCTCCCGCCCGAAGATCACGGTGTTGTCCAGCTTCTTGCAAAGACTGGCTCAGTCACCAGGACTCACTGTAGCTTCTGCAGGCATCTCCCACTCAATAAAACAGAAAGTGTTCTCTGCAATCTGTCAGTATGAGGAAGGTCTTCCCTTTCTTTACAGGTCTGCTCGCTGTCCCTTGGGAGAAGAATGAAGGGGAGCAAAGAGTCTACTCGTGAGCTGCCATCATTCCAAAGACAGTGATGGGTTTCCTTGTAGCTGCACCTTGGGATGGATCATGCAGGATATCCAGGATGTTCCTTCAGGAAGAGAGGAGAGATATGAAAGTCCTTCGTGGCACCTTTTGGGAGCTGTCATCTCAACTATTTATTTATGCATCAATTCAAGAAAACATCTCTTAAACCTACATGATTAAACACTATACAATTTCTGTATAGAGCAAAAAACTTTTAAATAATCCTCTGGTGCGTAGACTCAATCTATTTAACCAAGCCTGTACTAGAAAATATATTGATTGATGTCTAGCAAGTGCTGAGCCCTCAGGGTCATTCATTGATTCTCTAGTGCACCTGTACACTAAGAAACTGAGTTACCTGCTTCACTAAAATCAGCTGGATCTGTTTCCAGTCCTGCTTATGGTGGTAAGACTTCTTCATGTAATTACCTAATTTATCAAAATATAATGTAAATCAATGAAATATGAGTATGAAAGGAGACTTATAGTTTTAATGAAAATTAATATGAATGCATAAAAGGGCAGTAAAAGCTAGTCTAAAATTCTTGTTACTGAAGTATGTATGAGCCTGACAATTATCCTAAATGCAGCATGCTATACATATGATGTTAAGATATCCACTTTAAATCATCCAAACTGCATATTATAGACAATGCTTAATGAATGTGCTTTTTGCAAGAAAGAGCAAGGAGAACTCTATTTGCCGACTTATACTCAAAGGAAAGTCCTTCCCTCTTCTTCATTTTTGGTAAATGAATTCTAGGTAAAAATAAAATATTTATATTACAAGTTTTTTTTATAATTACCATTTAACAGACCTTTGCAGTCAAACTATTCACTTGCAGTCTTCAGTATGTTAAGTGGGCTTTTACAGCAAAGTCACTCAGTCATTTTTGTGTTCTTTTTATAAATAATAACTGAGCATCTTCTATGTTCCAGCCCCTGTGCTAGGCACTAGAGATTCTAAGACAACCTACCATTTTCAAGGGCTTACAGTCTACAGAAGAAAAGAGCTTAGTGCAGGACAGACTGCCTCACAACATGGTACATGTCACCCTCGAGTTATGCTTGGGGGTCAATGGTGCTCAGAGGAGAGGTCATCTAAAAATTCCGAGTTGTCTTGCTGCTATCCTGAATAGTGATGTCACACACAACAGCCCAGGAGAAGCATGACAGTACAGATCCAGAAGGCTCTTCATGATAGACAACCTCTTCAGCAAAAGCTTTCCAATTGATGAAATCGCTAGACTTGCTCTGTGGAATCTAACAGCCCATTGTCTTCAGAAAAACGTTTTTCAAGGGGAGTGTCTGCAGGCATTGTCTCACTATCTGTTCTCATTACCTTGAGTTCCAGCAGAGGAAGTCCTTGCTTCCAGTCCAACCCACCTCAGCACCCAGAAATCCTGGGGTATGCAGGGATGCAGAACTCAGGAGGGCTAATTTAGGAATAACACTGGACCTGGAATCAGAGCACCTAAACTTTCATACTGATTCTGTGAGCAACTTGGGTCACAAGCCCATTCTAGGCAACCCGAGCAGACAGTGAAGTTATGAGATTGCCCTAGTCTGAGTCGTATGTCATTTATGGTCGGGTACCTGTTTTTAGAATAAGGCGGTAGGGTTTTCACCAGAGACATGGACTGAAGGTAACTTCTGTTGCAAGTCAGGCAGCCTAAGAAGTTCACTTCTCTACATATGGCTATAAACATAGGCATATACTCTTCTCACCTGAAGCTATGTTTGGCAATTACCTGGAATTCAGAGAGGTTGCCTGATACTCTTTCTGTGTGATGGTAAAATACATATTGGGCACCAATATTGCCAACCATATAAAACTAGATGAGATTTGGTTTCTATTCTCCAGGAGTGTGGAGTAGAGTGTGGGAGAAGAGATCTCTGTACACATGCCTATCATATTGGCAGATTGGTTCTGAATCCTTCCAGGATACAAACACAGAGATGGGGAGCAGAGAGGGAGAAGAGCTCATTAATAAGTGTGTATGTGGTGGCAAGTGGATCAAGAAAGCCTTCTTGAAGTACTTGGAATTCGAACTGATTACAAGGAAGTACCCTATGTCACTTTTGCCAGCCACGCCAACCTTCAAGACACGTAAGAAAAGATAAATAGGATCTGGACAGATAGAAATGGGACAAGAGACAATTCATAGTGGTATTGTTAATAAAAGAACAAAGGTTGTTTAGAAAATAGTGATCAGTTTGCAAATAAGTTTCATTCCCTGTGACTCCTCAAGTATCTGGTCGTGGTTGCTAGATCCCTCTCAAGAAGGATCATAAGGTTGGAGTGCTGTGAGCAATGAGCAATGTCTGTTGTGGCCTTGAAGTGATGGAGATTGGTATAAGCTTTGCAAAATTAGTTCAAGTCAACTCTATAATACCGTCAAGTCCAGAGACAGCCAACAGGTCACTCCAGCAAGACAAGCCACAAGTCCTGCTCTCCTGACTGCCCTCTCTGGGATATGTCCAACCCTACAGAGTCAGAAACCACCTCTGGAAATAACAGGGAGGTAGACGAGGAGAAGGATGTCAGGAAGAGAGAAGACAGAACAACACAATGCACCCCTTTCTCAGCTGCAGTGATTTTGCATACAAAAGGTCAAACCGGGAGCAGGGGACATGGTTCATCTTTAAATTAAATTCAATGTTTTGTTCAAATTAGGCTCTAAATTTTTAATAGCTTTAATATGGATGATGGCTTAGGAGTTGGTAACCAGTTATCAGAAATCTCATCATGAAATTCTAAATGTTATCTTGTTCCTCTTTTGAAATGTAGTATCTACTGTATCTTGATATTTAGATCAAAACTGTTTTAACATCCTGTTATGCATGTGAGAGAAGAATGCATGCCAACTTCAGAAGCTCTGAAGAGATCAAAGAATGTTTGGGCCTTTAGCTGTATCTGTAAAATTTTATTTATTCATTTTTAAAGAGAAATCAGAAGTAAATATGACAAAATTTTAATATATGCTTAATTTTAATGGTGGGTATGTAAGTGCTTATTACATTATCTCCTGGCCTATGTGCCTGATTTACAAATCCTGTCCAGCATAAACCTTGTCATCATGCCTGTGACTTCAACATCTATGCAAGAAGTCAGTCCAACAAACTGAACTTTCAGTTGTTCTTTAACTTTTCATTCTAAATTAACTGTAGACCAACAAGGAGTTGCAAAAATACTACAGAGAGGTCCTGTGTACCATCTCCCAGCCTCAGCCAATGGTGCATCTTACACAAACATAGTACATTATCGAAACCAAGAAATTGATCTTGGTGGGATACCATGATCTACATTACAGAATTTACTCAGATCTCATCTGGTTTTGCAGGCACACATTTTTATGCCATGGTCTATAATTCCAGGACGCTCTATCACATTGATTCATGTAACCACTGCCACATTCAAGATATGGAACTGTTTCTTCATCACGAAAGTTCTCCCCTGGGCTACTCCTTTGTAGTCACACCCACCTGTCCCTCTTCCCAAATCCCTAGCAACCACTGATCTGTTCTCCATCTCCATAATTTTGTCCTTTAAAAAAATGTTGTATAAATGGAATCGTACAGTACTGAACCTTCTGAGTTTGGCTTTTTTTCACTGAGCATAATGTCCTCAAGACCCATCAAGTTGTTGCATGTACCAATAGTTTGTTGTTGATTTTTTGTAATTGCTGTTTCATATTCTATGGTATAGATATATGAACTGGGTTCGCTCTTCTCAAGTGAAAAGACATTTGGATTGTTTCCAGTTTGGCTATTATAAGTAAAGCTGCTATGAACATTTGCATTCAGGTTTTTATGTGAACACAAGTTTACCCATTCTCTAGGATAAATGCTAGGGATAGATGACTGGGTTGTATAGTAAGTGTATGTTCAATTTTTAAAAAATGCAAAAGTTTTCCAGCATGACCACATCCTTTCCCACCAGCAATGTATGTATGCAAGATCTAGTTTCTCTAAAGTCTTGCCAATAATTGAAACCACAGGTACTTTTTATCTTAGCCATTCTAAGAAGTATGTAGTGGCATCTCATCGTGGTTTTAATTTGTATTTCTCTAATGGCTAGGGATGTGGAACATCTTTTCGTGTGTTTATTTGCCATCTATATATTTTCTTTGATGAAGCATCTGTTCAAGTCTTTTGCCCTGGTTGAATCCAACTGTCCACTAACTGTTCCCAGGGAGCTGAGTATAGCTAGAGAACAACACACAACCATGCTGAATGGGTTCACTTCCAATGTAAGTCCACAAACCTCAAGTAACCATTTAGCTCTGCTGAGTGATCGTGTAACTTTTCCATAATTATTCTCTCATTCTCCAAGGAAAACATTACACACCATCCTTCTCCTTAAACCCCTTCCTCACGTTTTTATCACTCTCAGCCCTGCTAAGAATTTCCCCATCTCCACACACCAAATCTACCAGCCACTCTGCCTCTGAGCTTCTTTCTCTGCCTTTCCTCTCATGCCAGGGAATAGCTCCGTGTGCTTCTATCCTAAACTATCCTTTCCACATGCGTGCAGGCTCCCACCCCTCCCCTATATAGAAACACGCTGTATGCTATTACCTCTCCCACCTGCATCTTCAATGTTCTCTCCTTTCATTTACAGCAAATCTCCTTGAGAGAGTCTTCTATACTCATTATCTTCAGTCCCCACCTCCCGGTCTCTCTCTCTCACTCTTTTTTTCTCTTCCCCCTCTTCCTCCCACTTCCTCCCCTTTCCTCCCTCTTTCTTTCTCTCGTCTTTTTATATCTCTATCTCTTTATATTAGCTATATCATTAAATTTATCTTCCATGCTTTAAGATTTTATTTTTTGAAATAGCAATACATTCGCAGGTTTAAAAAAACATTTTTAATGCACACATTGAAAACTGTCATTCCCGTCCAGGACCTTAGGCATCTATGTTTCTCCTCAAAAACAAATACTGTTATAGTTTTTGTTTCTCAAAATCTTTCTAGAGATATTTAATGTTAAAATATGCATATATAGATAGTTTGAGAAGGAATAAAGAATACATGTATCATATCATATCATATCATATTATCCCAAAGCAGAGTTCTTAATGTTAGGTATTAGTACTTGTGTTCCTAAAAGCCCTTCAGTAATATCATATGATTTCATTCATATTAAACCCCCAAACTGGTAAAACTAACCCAAGGTGTTAGAAGTCAGGTTGACAGGATGGGGAATACA